CTTTCTTTTTTTTTTTTTTTTTTTTTTTTTTTTTTTGTCTTTTTTCATGACCAGCAACAGATCGCAACCCTCAGTGTCGCGCCCGTACTGGACCGGGACCGGCAACGGGATCGCAACCCTCAGTGTTGCGCCCGTACCTCGCTCAGCCAGTGAGCAGCCAGTCTGTATGTGGGATCCGAACCCTCGGTGGGAGCGCCGCTGCGCTCCCAAGCGACGCACTGTAGCAGTGCGCCACCGGGCCGGCCCTTGTTTTGTTTTCTTATAGGCTTTCTTTTATTCTCATAGCACCATTACCAAGTGAACATTTAAAATATTTTATGGACAATAACAATAGGAATAATTATAGGTACATAGTTTATTGAACAGTATGTCAGACTCTAATTGTGTTTCATTAACTCATTCCATCTTCATAACAGTACAGTAAACTAGACACTATAATACAGTTTACAGAGACATAAACTAAAGCACGAAGAAATTATACACCTTGATTAAGTTCTTAATGTCGAAAATCTCCATTTCTTATTCCAGTTTCCTCTCCTAAATGCAAAGTCCCTGTTCTTTCTACCAAAATAGACTGTGTTTCAACCTATGTGGTAGTTATAGTTGAAATTGTGCATTAAAAGAAAGATTTATTCCTCTGAATTTCTTAGGATACTGCCCCATATTCTCTCCATGCTTCCTGACAAAGAAATTTATCTGGAAAGCTAAGAGACACTGCGACGTGGTGGACTTGTGTGGTGTTGACCCATTTCATTTGAAGTTCTCAGCAAGTATTTCCATTACCAATTTCAGGAAACTTATTAGTATCAGAAAGTAGTCATGGGTAGAAGCTTCCCATTTTGTTTAAGACCTTGCCTTGTTCCCCAGGATTTGAACAATAAAAGATAGTTTAGTTGATTGAGAAACATGTGAGGACGAGAATAAGCAACACTATTTATTATACAGGTAAAACTAACACCAAACTCAGTCCTACAGACGTGGGGAACGGGGCGTGAGTATTCATGTTAATAAAAGCCATGTAGCTTCTATAAATAAGGCATAAGAAAACTTCTCTCATCCATTGAATTGTTACAGCTTAGAATTACTGGGTAACCTGTGTGAATAAAATATTATTTGAAAAACACTCCAGGAAGGTTTTTGTTCTTTAGTCTCTATCGTTAAGCTGTACAGCAGAAAATAATGGGAGCAGGGCCGGCCCGGTGGCGCACTGGGTAGTGCGCCGCTTGGGAAGCACGGCAGCGCTCCCGCCCGAGGGTTCGGATCCCACATGCAGACCGGTTCCCGCTCACTGGCTGAGCGAGGCATGGGAGCAACACCAAGGGTTGCGATCCCGTTGCCAGTCCCGGTCCGGTACGGGGGCAACACTGAGGGTTGCGATCCGTTGCCGGACACGGAAAAAGACAAAAGACAAAAAAAAAAAAAAAAAAGAAAATAATGGGAGGAAAATAAATACTATTTAAATAAGTTTCTCTACATTTTAAGGTTGATAATACCGTGAATAACATTTTCCTTTCTCTCTATTATATGCCGCTGACTGGAGGAAGTCCTTCCCATTGCTGGGTTTAGTTCTAATTAAAAGACAAAATAGCATTTTCTAAAAAAAGTTATTTCATATATCAAAAGAAAAATTTTGACATGACTCTTATGTTGACCAAAGGAAGATTTTATTGCTAAAATATTTTTATACCTTATAAAGTATTTTATGCATAAATATATTACATAATAAAATGTAATTATTTGTGTATTCATATATTTGATGAATATTAATTTAGGTATTGTTATGCATGAGACATTCCTCTAAGCACCACTAATATGTTAACTAATAAAAGAAATCAATTTTCAATACTTGAAAACTTTTTATTCTGGCTGGAGAAAAAAGAAAAGAAATACACAAATTAACATAAAAATATTGATAAATGCAGTAAAAATATAGGAGATGAAAGTGGTGATGTTATAGAAAGTGGCAGGTATGTTTTTTTCTACTCTATACAGGGAATATATGTATATAAATTGTTCCCCATATAAATTTTCCCATCAATATTATCATGTCACAATCTAGAATTGTTTTGAAGGAGGTGAAGAGTAAGTGTACAAGGGGGGAGGAAGCTCATATGTTCAACAGACAGAAAGTAGCCGTGGGCTGGATCATAGTCGGTGAAAAGAATAAAGGAACAGAATTAGGTGAACACCACAGGCTTTACGAACTTATTTCATTAATTTTAGAAGAGGGTTTGAGGAGAGGAGTGACATTATCTTATTAATTCTGTTGTCCTGAACTAAGCCTATAGCAATAAAAATGGTGAGAAATGGTAAAAAGGAGCATGTATTTTGGAGACAGAAACTTCAGTATCTGTTGATGGATTGAATGAGAGGGTTAAAGAAAGTGAGGAATAGAGAATAAGTCTTAGGTTTTGGCCTTAACATCTGTGTGAATGTTGGCTTCATTTACTGCAGTCCAAAGAATCAATAGTTCTGCTTTGGTCAGAATAATGCTGAGATGGCTAATAGATGGGATGTCGAGAAGGCAGTTGAATATATGGGAGCAGGGAGGAAAGTCTGAGCTCTTGAAATATTCACTTGAGTTGTCAGTACATAAATAATACTTAAAGTGAGTAGGCTAGATACAATCGTTTAAGGGAAAGAGTAAAAAGAAACTAAAAAGGAAAAGAGAAGACTAAGTACAGATCTCTGGGGCATTCAAACATTTAAAAACAGGAGAACTTCCACTTCTGCTCATGAAGGATTAACTGCTGCAAGAATTGACATCTCATGATAAAAAACTAGAAAACTGAGTAGAATACACAAAACAACTCTTTTCAGACATTGAACAACAGGCAATGTCTAATTGCAAGAATATGATCTTCAAAAAAAGGGAAAACAATGAACTGAACCCTACAATTTCTGCAGCTTCCCCTCAGGAGGCAGTTTCCAGGCTAAAGAATTGGGAGGACAACTCAGAGCCCAGAAATCTTGCTAATCTGAGGAGACAGAGATTGGATTCGGGAAGACAGAGGCAGGTAGAATTCGTGGATCTGAGTCCTAGAGAGGAGAAGGGTGATCTAGGTTATTCCTACGTAAATTACACCTAGAATAAAGACTGACATTCTGACAAACCTTAGTAGAAAATCTGAAAGTGATCCATCCAAACACAATCACTTAACTATATAGCAGAACAAAGCCCTGCACTATTTTCAGAAATACAGCATAACCCAGCATTCAGTAACATAAAATCACAGTGTCTGGCATTCCATCAAAATGGATCAGGCACTCAGCGATGTAGGACAATATGATCTATAATAAGAATAAATTTGAGGAAACAGAAACAGAATCAGAAATGACAGAAATAGTAAAATAATGACATAAAACCACAAAAGAACTATTATGTAAGAAACTCCATATTAAGAACATGGAAAAACACAAACATAATGAGAAAATAAATGGACATTATATTAATCTCAGAGATAAAAAATACAATAACAAAAAATTTTTTAAAAATCCAAAATAGCATTAATGGCATATTAGACTGTGCAGAAGAAATGTTAATAAACTTGAAAACATTAAAACATCACAGAATCCAACTAAAAAAAAAAACGGAAGGAAAGATAAAAAGGCTGAAAAAATAAGGGAGCATTGAATACTTGTGGGGCGATATCAAGTAATATACAAGAAATTGGAGTCTCAAAAATGGGGGCAGAAAATTATTCGAAGAAATAATGGGAAAATTTTTCCAAATGTAATGCAAAATAATAATAATTAAAAAAACAAATCTAAGGGGCCGGCCCGGTGGCGCACTGCTACAGTGCACCGCTTGGGAAGCGCGGTGGCGCTCCGATAACAAAACTTTTTAAAAATCCAAAATAGCATTAATGGCATATTAGACTGTGCAGAAGAAAGGTTAATAAACTTGAAAACATTAAAACATTACAGAATCCAACTAAAAAAAAAAAAACAGAAGGAAAGACAAAAAGGCTGAAAAAATAAGGGAGCATTGGATACTTGTGGGATGATATCAAGTAATATACAAGAAATTGGGGTCTCAAAAAATGAGGGCAGAAAATTATTTAAAGAAATAATGGGAAAAATTTTCCGAATGTAATGAAAAATAATAATAATTAAAAAAACAAATCTAAGAAACTCAATAAACCCTAAGAGAAAATATGAAGAAAACCACAACAAACTTCATAATAATAAAACTAGCAATAAATTTTAGATATATGTTTGTACATATCCGTAAGATTAAATTTTACATTATACATTCCAGAACGCAGACAGACAGATATAGATATATTGTTTCAGAGAAAATAAAGGACATATATATATAAAAGAATAAATATAAGAATTACAGCAGACATATTTCTAGGATCAAATAAGCCAGAATAAAATGGAGAGGCATCTTTAAAGTTCTTAAAAACTAATAATAATAAAATGGTCCAACGAGAGTATTACACTCAGGGAAAACGTTCACAGAAAAGAAGAGGCCCTGGAAATACGGAGAAAGAAATACCAGCCCTCAAATTTGTAATTTAACCGAAATTGAATTTTAAATATTTTTTTTCTCCTTGGGTTTCCTGAAACATACCTGATATCCTCCTACTTTGCTGATCAACTTCAAATAAAATGCCCTTTAAAGTAAGTATCTGGAGCCAGCCCCGTGGCTCACTGGCCCCGTGGCTCTCTCGGGAGAGTGCGGTGCTGGGAGCACAGTGGCGTTCCCTTCATGGGTTCAGATCCTATATGGGCATGGCCGGTGCGGGCAACACCAAGCCAGGGGTTGCGATCCCCTTACCGGTCACGAAAAAAAAGGGAAAAAAAAAAAGCCCTGTGGCTCAACTCGGTGGAGTGCGGCACTGAGCGTGAGGCCCCAGGTTCAGATCCTATATAGGGATGGTCGGTGCACTCACTGGCTGAGAGCGGTGCGGCCAGTCTCAAAAAGGACAAAAAAATAAAATAAAATAAAATAATTTAGAAGAAATTTCAATGAACAGGAATATTCTTCCACTACAAAATCTTCCTCATTCTTTTTTACTTTTTACAGGAAAACTTTTCTAAAGTGTCTGACGGCTCCCTCTGTAAACCTAAATACTTTCCTCTATTCTA